TCCCCCCCCTCCTCCCTCCTCCCTCTCTCCCCCCCCCTCCCCCCCCTCTCTCTCTCTCCCCCCCTCCTCTCTCCCCCCCTCCTCTCTCCCCCCCTCCTTTCTCTCTCTCTCTCTCCCCCCTCTCTCCCCCCTCCTTATCCTCCCCCCCCCTCTCTCTTTACATTGTACACTGATCTGACCCAACAAGTGTGTCCTGCATTTACCGTATTTTTCGCTCCATAAGACACACTTGGGGGGAAATGTCTGTGCGCCTTATGGAGCGGCCGGCCCAGTATTCCCGCCGCCGTTGTATGTCCGCAGTCTCTGGTCATCTCATGTACTATGTCCGCAGTCTCTGGTCATCTCCTGTACTGTGTCCGCATTTGTTCATAGTTTTTTTTTTTTTTTTTTTTTTTTTTTTTAACTATAGTCCGGTCCTCCAATGGTCTGAGGGACAGTGAACTGGCCCCCTATTTAAAAAGTTTGAGGACCCCTGCTTTAGAGCATCCTTGAGGATCCTCTGTTTGGGCGTATCTTCCTTTTTGTGCTATTGTGGTATGTCCTCCCCCTCTCCCCCCTCCTCCCCTCCTCCCCCCTCCCCCCCTCTCCTCCCCTCTGCCCCCTCTCTCTTCCCCCCCCCCCCCTCCCCCTCTCTCCCCCTCTTTTCTCTCTCTCCCCTCTCTCTCTCCTCCTTATCTCTCTCCCCCCCCCTCTCTTTACATTGTACACAGATCTGACCCAACAAGGTGTCCTGCATTTACCGTATATTTCGCTCCATAAGACACATTTGGGGGAAATGTCTGTACGCCTTATGGAGCGGCCGGCCCAGTATTTCCGCCGTCGTTGTATGTCCGCAGTCTCTGGTCATCTCCTGTACTATTCCGCAGTCTCTGGTCATCCCCTGTACTGTGTCCGCAGTCTCTGGTCATCTCCTGTACTGTGTCCGCAGTCTCTGGTCATCTCCTGTACTGTGTCCGCATTTGTTCATAGTTTTTTTTTTTTTTTTTTTAACTATAGTCCGGTCTTCCAATGGTCTGAGGGACAGTGAACTGGCCCCCTATTTAAAAAGTTTGAGGACCCCTGCTTTAGAGCATCCTTGAGGATCCTCTGTTTGGGCGTATCTTCCTTTTTGTGCTATTGTGGTATGTCCCCCCCCCTCCTCCCCCTCCCCCCCTCCTCCCTCCTCCTCCCCACTCCCCCCTCTCCTCCCCTCTCCCCCCCCTCTGCCCCCCTCTCTCTTTCCCCCCCCCCTCCTCTCTCTCCCCCCTCTTTTCTCTCTCTCTCCCTCTCTCTCTCTCCTCCTTATCTCTCCCCCCCCCCCTCTCTTTACATTGTACACAGATCTGACCCAACAAGGTGTCCTGCATTTACCGTATATTTCGCTCCATAAGACACATTTGGGGAAAATGTCTGTGCGCCTTATGGAGCGGCCGGCCCAGTATTTCCACCGTCGTCGTATGTCCGCAGTCTCTGGTCATCTCCTGTACTATGTCCGCAGTCTCTGGTCATCCCCTGTACTGTGTCCGCAGTCTCTGGTCATCTCCTGTACTGTGTCCGCAGTCTCTGGTCATCTCCTGTACTGTGTCCGCAGTCTCTGGTCATCTCCTGTACTGTGTCTGCATTTGTTCATAGTTTTTTTTTTTTTTTTTTTTTAACTATAGTCCGGTCTTCCAATGGTCTGAGGGACAGTGAACTGGCCCCCTATTTAAAAAGTTTGAGGACCCCTGCTTTAGAGCATCCTTGAGGATCCTCTGTTTGGGCATATCTTCCTTTTTGTGCTATTGTGGTATGTTGCAATATTAGTAGCTTTTTGGACTTCTTGTTTGGGTATTCAGTTGGCATATCCTAAGACACTACAAGCAAGTGGATCCTGAGGAAGCAGCTTCCAGGTGAAATGCATTGATCCACTACGTCTTTGTGTACAAGTTATGCTGCAATCGATAAAACTGTGTTTGGCTATGGTTTTGCTGATTTTTAATGTCAAAATTAAACATTTTTATTGGCTCATAAAAATCTCCATTTTCCTGTAGAACGACTGGAAGTTATTTATTCTGTTATATTTGGGGATGGTGTCTTTATTGGTTTATCGAGATCTTCCATCCCTTGTATTATAACACAATGATGTAAACAAACTCCATAGAAATTAATGCATGGCATGTGTGTTCATGATGTTCTGCTTTCAGAAACCGCATATACAGAGAATGGGGCATCAAGCAGATTTTCTGCAGTATGTGGAACTAATGCTTTTAAAAAATTTGCTGATTTTTGCATGCATCATGAAATGATCTGGATACTTTTTGATTGGATCAACAGAATACTTCCTGACAGGGAAATTTTGTATAGCTTTTAAAATAACTGTTTCATGGCACTCTACTTTTCAAAATGCTCTTTGAAAGTCTTTTACTCCCAAGTTTTGTAGGGTTATAAGCTTTTGTCATAACAGTTTTGTCTATGCAAATTAAACTTAAAAGTACAGCTTTCTTAAAGGATAAGTTCACCTTTGGGAACATGCTACGTGTTCCACCCGTTTTTAGGTTTAGGGTGGAATATGTAACTTGTTCCTGCAACCTCCATTAGACTCCCCCCTGCTAATTGTGACAGTGGACCAGGAATCTTCTCCACGCACCCGGTGTCACAATTTAAAAAAGACCGCAGCTGTGCGCTGCTCCACTCACATGGCATCGTTCATTCACAGAGTTCAGTAAATGAATGAATTACAAGTACCGACATCCTTTGTGAGTGACAGCTTGTAGTTCTCCATGAACTATCAGGGTGTTGGTGAGCACTCTAGGTAATTCATTGGGTCTTCCTGTCATTGTGTGACTGCCTGCCTGTAAGAGGTATGAGCAGACAGATACAGGTGCAATGCTTTACAGGTTCAAAAAATAAATAAATAATAAATGCACTTTATTTTTTTTATCTGCAAAAAAAAAGGTGCATTTAACATTTTTTTAGGAAGGTGAACCTACCCTTTAAATAAAGTAATGGTGTATTTCAAGATACAACATAAAGAAGAATGAGAGACATCTCCCTTCTTGGAGAATAACTAATGACAACATGATACCAACCATTATCAGGTTAGTGCCAAAAAAGGTAGGTGACATACAGCAACGAAAATGTATGACATCAGGAAGCATTCCAAAAAAAAGGGACTAATAGGAATTTGAATCCGATCAACTTAAATTGGCAGATAAAGTATAGACAGCCACACTGTAACAAAGTAATGACACTGGATCCAGTCCTTAATTGCAGTACTAGAAGGTAAAAGGAAAGTGAAGAGAACAAAGACTCCGCTATTAAGGGAAAGAAAGTGATAAAAAAAAGGTCATCTCCAAGGTCTCGCTGTTCCATTGTCAAATGTATCCAAGGGTGCTATTTTGTCAAAATTAGTTTGAGTGTTGTTTAGGGTACAGGAGAGTTTGCTTTTAAGGACAGAGGAGGGATTTGGGGTCTTATTGACCCCAGATCTCTCCATAAAGAGTACCTGTCACATGCTGTAACGGACCGACCCAGGCTGCAGATGAGTACTTCTGTTAGACTACCGCTTACCCGTCCGAACACCGACAACAGACACCACAGCTGACCATACAAGACTAGACACCAATCTTGAAGTATTCCAGAAAGTAGACTAGTTTATTTTAACACAGATACAAGATCTATACACTCAAGAGAACAATCCCCCCTCCCTGCATAATGACACAGGGCAGGGCAATCTACATTTAGTAACAAGAGACACACCAACAGACAGTCCTATCAGGAGGGAGGGCTACTGGAGACACCCACCAAGCCAATACACATAAGCACATACATCCCATAATAGTTTGCTCCCAAGAAAGACACACAATAGAACAATGGGATGCAACCACATGGCATTAAACAATCTACAACCCCACCCCCCCACTTATACATGTCTACACAATATTAGGAAGATCACCCTGTACCCCTAACTGGCACAGGGGGACTTATACATAATAGGGATATGGGGACCTGAGACAGGGGTCTCCCCACCTCTCCAAAGTGAGCTGGGTTCCATGGGCCCCCTCACCCAAAGTGACTCCCGTCACACATGCGTATTGCTGTTGCAAGGGTTGTTTACATTCCTTGTGAGAGCAATTCAAGTGATGAAAAAAATTTTTTTTATCAACTTTGTAAAAATATAAACATAAATAAAAAATTAAGATGTTCCCGTGTCCCTGTGCTTTCACGCAAAGGCAAACTCATGTGTCCATCCCGCACTTGCACAAACAGCAATTTTTCCACATATGTGAGGTATCACCGCGAACATCAGATTATGGGCAGTGTCGCCTATGGATAGTAAAATTTATGTCATTTGTCACCGCTGCACGGGTGTGCGCGATTTTAAAGCATGACATGTTTTGGTATCTATTTACTCAGCGTAACATCTTTTATATTCTACCAAAAACATTGGGTTATGTATTTTGTTTTTGTTTTTGTTTTTTGCATTAAAATTCAAAAAGTTTATTTTTCTCAAAAGAAATGGCATTTGAAGAAACCGCTACGCAAATACCATGTGACATAAAAAAGATTGCAAAACCAATTTATTCTCTAGGGCATTTGCTTTAGAAATATTTAATGTTTGGGGGTTCTAAGAAATTTTCTAGCAAAAATACCAATTGAATACATGTACACAAAAAGTGCCAGAAAAGGCTTGGTCTTCAAGTGGTAAATACCACAGAAAGAAAGCTCTATTTGTCTCAAAGAAATTATAAAAATTTCATTTGGGTACGATGTTGCAGAACTGAGTAATTCATTCAAAATCTGAGAGCACTGAAAGCTAAAAATTGTCCTGGGCAGGAAGGGGGTGAACATGTCCAGTATTGAGGTGGTGGAAAATTGCTTTGTTGTCTAGTATTTACGGACAAAAAAACAAGATTATCAATAAGCATCCACTTGTTTTTAGTTTGTTTTGCATTAAAAAACTGTAAACCCTTATTATGCTTGTTCATATGTTTATTTTGGTTTGAACTTTTCGGTTTTCTTAATCTGTTCTGTTTTTTTAGGAAAGAGACAAGGTGATGCCTCTCATTATCCAGGGCTTTAAGGATGCTGCAGAAGAAGCAGGAACGTCTGTTACTGGAGGTCAGACTGTGCTGAATCCTTGGGTAGTTCTGGGAGGAGTGGCTACAACGGTTTGCCAGCCTAATGAATTCATTATGTAAGTTGATATCTGAATTTATTACAGAATACAATCTACACCCAATATCTGTCATTCCACTGATCAAGTAAATAGATTCTTCCTTTGTGTGTAAAATGCAGTAACCCGAAGGTTCGGTTCACACTGCCAACTTGGGATCCAACTTGTGAGACCCCAAGTCGCATGACATGTGAAATCCCATGTTAGCCAATGAGAGCTGTCTTAATTCGCACTACTGAAGTTGCTCCGACTTTAGAAAAGGTTCCTGTGCTACTTCAAGACGACTTCTGTCTGACTTGTGCCCATAGACTTTAATGGAAGTCGCCTCCAAGTGGGATCCTCCTCTATATTGATGGATTTGGATTCGACTTGACAGCAAGATTACCCAGGCAATCCCTGAAAGTTGCATTAGAGTAGTACTCAACTTGCCTGGCAAAATCACACTGTAAGTCACTCGACTCTCAGGTTGTAGTAGTGTGAACCGAGACTTGACAAACAATAATACATGGTCTTTAAGATGATGAGAAAAAAAAAAGATTTTTTTTTTTTTTTTCCCCCCCCTAGGCTTGCTTCGGCAGCCCATTAACAAACAAATGGACTTCCATATTGCAATGCATGATAACACATGTAGTACTGCATTGTAGTTGTCCAGCCAGGTGTGAAGAGGCTGTAAAGTGACCTGACATTTGTGTCTGTGGGAACACAAGAGTATGCTTTCTCCTACTGCTGTCTAGTAATAACACTAGCACCTTTTTACACAATTGTCTACATTGTTAGGGGGCTGAATTGTGTCCAGGAATAATGACACTGAATGTTGTAGTGTCCGCTCTCCCCCTGTCCACACACACAATAACATACAAGCATATCACTGCACTAAAGTAAGAAGGTATGTTGTACTTCACAAGTGGCAGCACTCTGTAAATTTAAAGAACAGGCCAACATACAAAATATTTTAGGAAGTGTGCAGGGAATTTGGGACAGCACATAGCGCTGTACTTTGTAACTGGCTGTGTTAAACTTTAACATACAGTAAAGGAAATAAGTATTTGATCCCCTGCTGATTTTGAATATTTGCCCACTCACAAAGAAATGATCAGTCTAAAAATCGAATGGTAGATGTATTGTAACACTGAGAGACAGAATAGCAACAAGAAATTCAAAAGAAATGTATTTATTACAAATGATGCACTGATTTGCATGTTCATGAGGGAAATAAGTATTTGATCCCCTTCACAAAACATGACTTAGTACTTGGTGGCAAATCCCTTGTTGGCAATCACAGAGGTCAGATGTTTCCTGTAGTTTGCCACCAGGTTTGCACACATCTCAGGAGGGATTTTGTCCCACTCCTCTTGGCAGATCCTCTCCGAGTCATAAAGGTTTGGTGGCTGACGTTTGGCAACTCAAACTTTCAGCTCCCTCTACAGATTTCAATCTGATTAAGGTCTGGAGACTGGCTAGGCCACTCCAGGACCTTAATGTGCTTCTTCTTGAGCAACTCCTTTGTTGCCTTGGCCGTGTGTTTTGGGTCATTGTCATGCTGGAACACCCATCCACGATCCATTTTCAGTGCCCTGGCTGAGGGAAGAAGGTTCTCACCCAAGATTTAATGGTACATTGCCCCGTCCATCGTCCCTCTGATGCGGTGCAGTTGTCCTGTTTCCTTAGCAGAAAACCCCCCCCAAAGCAGAATGTTTCCACCACCATGTTTGACAGTTGGGATGGTGTTCTTGGAGTCATAGGCAGCATTCTTCCTCCTCCTCCAAACACTGCGAGTTGAGTTGATGCCAAGGAGCTCGCTTTTGATTTCATCTGACCACAACACTTTCAACCAGTCGTCCTCTGCATCATTCAGATGTTCAGTGGCAAACCTCAGACGGGCCTGGACATGTGCTTTCTTGAGCAGAGGGACCTTGCGGGCACTGCAGGATTTCAATCCTTGTCGGCGTAGTGTGTTATCAATTGTTTTCTTGGTGACTGTGGTTCCAGCTGCCTGGAGATCATTGACAAGATCCTCACGTGTAGTTCTGGGATGATTCCTCACAGTTCTCATGATCGTTGACACTCCACGAGGTGAGATCTTGCATGGTGCACCAGACCTAGGGAGACTGACAGTTGTTTTGTGTTTCTTCCATTTGTGAATGATTGCACCAACTGTTGTCATCTCACCAAGCTGCTTGGCGATAATTTGGTAGCCCAGTCCAGCCTTGTTTAGGTCTGCAATCTTGTCCCTGACATCCTTGGATAGCTCTTTGGTCTTTGCCATGGTGGAAAGTTTGGAATCTGATAGTTTGATTGCTCCTGTGGACAAGTGTCTTTTATACAGGTAACTAAATGAGATTAGCAGAATTCCCTTTAAGAGACTGCTTCTAATCTCACCTTGTTACCTGTATGAAAGACACCTGGTAGCCAGAAATCCTGCTGAATGATAGGGGATCAAATACTTATTTCCCTCATGAACATTCAAATCAGTGCATAATTTGTTAGACATGCATTTCTTTTGAGTTTTTTGTTCCTATTCTGTCTTGCAGTGTTACAATACACCTACCATTCGATTGTTAGACTGATCATTTCTTTGTGAGTGGGCAAACATTCAAAATCAGCAGGGGATGAAATACTTATTTCCTTCACTGTATTTCATGTTCTAAATCAATTAGACCTTTGTTTTTACTTTATAGTAATCTTGCAATTCCTGGCTATACTATTATTATTATTATGTTTGTACTGCATGTTCTTATAAGATTTTATTAACAAGCTTATGTAGTAGGTGAACTGAAAATGATTGACTGTCTAGCCCAGCAATGGGCAAACTACGGCCCGCGGGCCGTATACGGCCCGGCGGACCTTTTAATCCGGCCCGCGGAGCTAGGCTCCCGCAAGGCCAGTGGTCGGCAAGCCGCGGCTCTTTACAAATTTAGATGCGGCTCTCCTGTGTGCCGGGCGCCCGCTCCCCTCCCCTCCTCTCCCCTCCTCTCCTCTCGGATGGCCGCCCCCCCTCTCGGATGGCCGCCCCCCTCCCTCCTCTCGGACGTCAGGACTCTGCAGCTGTCAGGATGTAGGCGGGGCAGCCAGGATGTAGGCGGGGCAGCGTGACGAACTCCTCTCACAGTCCTCCCTGAAGACCAGAACGGCGCGGGAATACGAGAGGAACGCGCGGACCAAAGGTAAGTGAATTGACACAGGGGGGGGACTTACTATATGGGGGACTTACTATATGGGGGACTTACTATATGGGGGATGAATTACTATAGGGGGGACTTACTATATGGGGAATGAATTACTATATGGGGGACTTACTATATGGGGAATTAATTACTATATGGAGGACTTACTATATGGGGAATGAATTACTATATGGGGGACTTACTATATGGGGAATGAATTACTATATGGAGGACTTACTATATGGGGAATGAATTACTATATGGAGGACTTACTATATGGGGGATGAATTACTATATGGGGGACTTACTATATGGGGAATTAATTACTATATGGAGGACTTACTATATGGGGAATGAATTACTATATGGGGGACTTACTATATGGGGAATGAATTACTATATGGAGGACTTACTATATGGGGAATGAATTACTATATGGGGGACTTACTATAGGGGAATGAATTACTATATGGAGGACTTACTATATGGGGAATGAATTACTATATGGAGGACTTACTATATGGGGGATGAATTACTATATGGGGGATGAATTAATATGGGGGATGAATTAATATGGGGGATGAATTAATATGGGGGATGAATTACTATGTGGGGGATGAATTACTATGTGGGGGATGAATTACTATGGGGGATGAATTACTATATGGGGGATGAATTACTATAGGGGGGATGAATTACTATGGGGGACGAATTACTATATGGGGGACGAATTACTATATGGGGGACGAATTACTATATGGGGGATGAATTACTATATGGGGGATGAATTACTATATGGGGGATGAATTACTATATGGGGGATTAATTACTATGGGGGATTAATTACTATGCTTACTATGGGGGAATATTACTATACTTACTATGGATGACACATACACATCATTCATCTACTCTTGGTCCGGCCCCCGGGTCCAATATATGAACCCATTGCGGCCCTCAAGTCAAAAAGTTTGCCCACCCCTGGTCTAGCCACTTTATCATGCAGAGTGTCTGCCAGCAGATGGCATGCTAACACATCATAACCGAAGTCCTAGTAATGCTGCATCGTGCACTATTTGAGATTTTGTTCTCAGACAAATCAGTATTTCCAATTGTCACAAATAACTTTGGTTTGTATTGCTGTTACAATGCTGATGTTATAGAATAAAGGTGTATTTTTTTGATGAATTTGGTTTTGCAACAGTCCTTCAGGACATATTTACCTAGAGCAAAAGAAAAAAAATTCAAGTGTTAACCAGTTTGTAATCCTCAATCATCTGACTGCTCTGAAAAAATGAAAGATAAAAACTAAGCTTGGGATTTTATCAGTCTGCAGTTTTGGGAAACCATCAGCCCTTTCTTTAAAACAAAAAAAATGTACATAGTTTGAGATCTCCATGGCTCCAGCACACATCTACAGTATGTTTTTCTTTTAACCAGTAGGAGCTTTCCTTCTGTGCTTCATGCGTTCTGTAATGCCTTGCTTTTAACTCTTGTCTGATTTAGGAGATCAGCCTATTTACATAATTATTGGGTTATATTTAAAGTGATTCTAAAGGCTCAGTTCTTATTTGTTTTAAAATAACAAGCATGTTTTACTTACCTGCTTCTGGGGTCCCTTGCTGACACCCCTGGCTACTCCCCCATGCCAAGTGCCACCATAGCAAGCCGCTTGCTCTGGTGGCACTCGTTCATGCTCACTCCCAATCCAGCTGTGTGTGTGTTAAATAAGAAAACAACAGCAGTGAGCGCTAATCCTGATAGCGGCTGAGCACTCTAAGCAACCAATGAAACTTAAAAGCAATAACATAAAAATAGTGCAGCGCTGAAATAGTGACAATATGACAAAAAATTGTCCACTAAAAGTCTTGTTCATATGAACGTATCCAGTGTCAGATGTGAATTCAGAATTGGTGATCCGTGTGGAAATGGCTGGAAAACGCACTCACCAGAAGTAAGACACATAAACGCAGTGTGCATTTAAAGCTCATGGGTCATCAATCCAGAGGGAAGTAAAGCTGGTCCGGTTACAGGAATGGTGGGTCCCTCCTCCGTAAATGCAGCAACAGATCTTCCTTCTCACGATTAGATGTAGAATTCCAAGATCCAGGTTCTGCAAGCAAAAGCTCCTCAAGGGAAGGACACCCATAGTGAAGTAGGTCATAAAAAGGCAGCTTTATTCAAAATAGTGGTATCCAATTCAAAGCAGGCAGGTATCATACAGATGTGTCAGCAAGACAACTAACCCTGGCACTTCGAATAGTGGCCGCCGGGCCTCCACGTGGCTCCGGCGGCGTAGCGTCTCGACGTCCAGGCTCCTCCTTACGCGTTACGTGCGCACGCACATCTTCAGAGGTATGGATACGTTCATATGAACAAGACTTTTAGTGGACAATTTTTTGTCATATTGTCACTATTTCAGCTGTGTGTGTGTGTCCATTACACCTATAAAACACAGCTTGGCCTCACCACCCCCCCCCCCCCCCCCCCCACCGCTCCCTGCTCCCTTGCTGTTATTGACAGCCACAGGAGCTAATCGCTTAACAAAAGCTAAACTCCAGCTACCACTTTTTAAGCAGTTAAAACAATCCTTTTTTTTTTTTTTTTTTTTTCCTTTTGGAGTAAATGAATAAATGTACTCATTTATAAATAAATTTATGAATTTTATAAATTAATTTTATAAATAAATTTATGAATACATTTATTCATTTATAAATTTATAATTTATAAATGAATAAAATCTGACCATTGTAATCACCCCCGTTAGTGGTAAGTGGTGTGTCTCAATTCTCTAACTGCTACTTTGTCAGGAGAGCTTGATATGTTAAAGGGAATTTGAAAAATAACAGACTGGCTGGATAACCAGGTGAGAATAAAGCCTAAAAAAGGAAAGCAATGCAGTCATCACATCTAAGAATTGGTGAGCTGTCATTTTAATACATTTAATTCTAATAAAGAGAGAACATTCATTCCTTCATTCTATTACTTTCTCTAGAGTGAGTACCAGAGCTGGCATAGCACATTTGCAAAGCACTTCCATCCTGAAAATTTTCCATAACTCTTTGCTTTGACATTCTTTTGACTGTAAATAGATATTCAGTACGATTGATAGAAAATGTTTACTTTTAATATGATCAACATCTTGAATATTTGATGTACATAGACATTTTGTGTATGCACAGGCCAGACAATGCTGTACCAGGAGATGTACTTGTGCTGACAAAACCTTTGGGAACCCAAGTTGCAGTAGCAGTTCATCAGTGGCTGGATATTGTAAGTATACTGCTGCATTATATAGAATGACCAATTTTCTGTTTCTTTAGTTTGATGTGCTATTCTTTTAATATTATGAATTGTCCAATGTAAAATTTGTATGTAGATTTACAATAAATGGTGCCCTATCCTAATCTCATCACACACACACACACACACACCGTTTTTATTTTATTTTTGTATTTTTTTTTTTCTATATTTTCACATCGTAATCTCTTCAAAAGAGGCAGCCATGGCACTGTTATTTTTAACAAGATAACAAGTGTGCTATATATCAGGATGCGAATAGTTCCTGCTAATGAAGCATTAATAAACTGCTTTTGTCACTTTCATACAAATATTTAATAGAAAAGCGTGTTGCTGCTTAGGTGTTTTTAGCTACTTTACAAAATTGGATTGGATTTAGCACAAGCTAGAAAAGGTAAAAGTCTGTTTGCTTGTTAAAACCAGAATCTCAGAACTTTTTTTAATATTATTTATTAAATTCCTTTTAATAAAAATAAAATGTTATTATTTTGCTCTTGATATAAAGACCATACATTTCTGTACGTCACTCAGTGAGGCTTGTACCAATGGGAAATACAGAGATTGTTAAACTGACTGAGGAAAAAAAGAGATTGCAAGCATCCTCTAAAAGGGGTAACAGACATCTGCAATCGAAAATGAAAAATTTACAGTGCATGTTCTTCTATTAGATAAGCTGTATCTTTCACAAGCACCTAAAACTGGTAATAATCTGTGTAAAGGTTAATGGCTTGTTTAGGTTTGTCCTCGTTTAACCTCAGAGCTAGAAAAACGGGAAAGAGCATAGGAATGCTTGCTGTGATTTGTGTTAACAGCAGTGGAGCCAGCTGGGGCATGTAATTCTGTAAATACTGGAGAGCGGATATGATTTGAGAGAAGGTTCATGCTCCAGTCATTCAGCATTTTGACATGAGTACTGTAGTTGCTATTACAGACTCTAGTATTGGACTGTTGAATGTCAGGGGGTGTTGGTTTAGTGTTGAAGTAGGTAGGACTTCTCTCTGAGTCAGAGCAGAAGTTATGGTCTCTGTATAAACTTAAATGTGTAAGATGAGACCCTTGAGCAAAAAAAAAGTTGGCAACCACAGCTCCCATTAAAGTAGAATTCCAGGATAAACGAACTAAAAAATGTTTAAACTTAAAACTGAACTCCCCCCCCCCCCCCCCTTCCAAACACTCCTAACTAACCTATGTAAGAAAGATCTGTTCACTTTGGTCCAGTCATCTGATCCTTCATCCCCATGTCAGCCAGCGGTGGATGCATGGGGCTTAAGTCTATAGGCGACATCACTGCTCCCAGGCATTGTCAGCTATTGTCGAGCGATCTCTCCTTTTCCCATCACCCGGTGCTAGCTAGCACAGAGAGGATCATGTGACTGGACCAGAGTGGCCTAAAAAAAATGGGTATATATACAGATCTTTCTTACACAGGTTAGCCAAAACAGATGTTTGGGGGGGTGGGCATTTATAAGATTAGTTTGGTTTATTCTGTAATTCAACTTCAAGTAACAGAAAAGGACAATTATCCTTTGTTTCAATTTTGTGCAAAGAAAATCATGCATTTACACATTAATGCCATGCCCAATAAAAAAAGAAAAATGTGTGTGGCTTAATTTGTAATATTTGACTTTGTTCTTTAACACCACCAGCCAGAAAAATGGAATAAAATAAAATTGGTGGTGACCCAGGAAGATGTGGAGTTGGCATACCAGGAGGCAATGATGAACATGGCTCGACTAAACCGAACTGGTACTGAAAATTGTTCTTCAGTCTGTTTCAGTAACTAATAGTACATGTCAGTTTTTGCTGCTGTTTTATGTATGAAGCTTTGTATTTCTTGCTATTAAATTTCATTATTACTCTTCCTTTTCTCTTTATATATCCAACCTGAACGGTTTCATCAAGGGCTTTTCCAGTTGAGTATTGGTTTTGGGGAAATGCAAGACCCTCATCTGCTGCTCTTTTTCATCAAACTTCTCAGGATAGAAATCTAGAAAGCCACCATTCTTGGCCTGTTTTATTTTTTTTGGTTTCTTGCTCTCTGTTTCTTTCACAACTTGGTCAGTGAATTACGCAAATCAAGCATGCGCATAATGGGTGATCTGACGCTTGATATGCACATTGTTTATGCAGGTCAATGACTTTCCAAGTAGTGACTAAAGGATGAGGATGACAGCCCTCCAGTAGTACTTTCAAAAAAAAAAAACTAGCAGTGGCAGCTTCCAACATTTCTATCCTGACCTCTTCCCTTTTAAAGCAAATAATATACATAATGAAGAGAAAATAGTGTTGTAAAGCAAATTCAAATGTAGGAATACAGTTTCTACAGTTTAATGCTGTATTTGCGAAGTTGTTGGAAATGTTGGCACTGTAATTACGACTGTGGATAATCAAAATCCTCAACATATACAGTGTTAATGTTCAATAGGAAAATTTGCATGCATTCAAATAAATATAATATAATGACATAAACTGCACACTAAAATGTGAAACTAAATCCACCAATATTTGTGTACAAAGTGTAAAAAGTGACAGTCATGAGTAAATGTATAATATTCAAGCAAGTCTAATGAAATATAGTGAATTATCAAAAATAGTGTGAAACTAAAAATCAATACCAAGGAATAATGGGATGTGGAATTGGATAAAAAAAAAAAACACCCCCAATTTAACCCTCACCTTCCACATGATCATTCAAACAAAATTATATGTTCTACACACAATAAATTACTCTCTTTGCTGGTTGGGTGGTTACCTTTAGTGGACCAAATGGTGCACTAAATGAAATCTTAATTTGCACAGTATCGGTGAATAGTTCTATTAAAACACAACCCTTGCAGATGAAGCATAATTAATAATAAAAATAAGATAATAAGCGATTCCTCATAAAATAGGCATAAAAACAAAGTAAACACAAAAAATTTATATAGAGTAAAATTACATACAAATCAATGTCTGCCAAAAATACAAGCAAATCTTTATCCTATGAATGAGCATAAGAAAATACAGCACAAGTATAGCATAAGAAAATAAATTAATTTTAGTATCACCCAAAAAATAAATCACAATACATTTATATCCATAAAAAATTTTTATGTATGTATGTAAACATACATAAAAAAGTGTGTGTATATGTGTGTATGTGTGTGTGTGTGTGTGTGTGTGTGTGTTTGTTTTTTATATATATATATATATATATATATATATATATATATATATATATATATATATATATATATACATATATATATATATATATATATATATATACATATACATATACACACAGTGACGGAAATAAGTATTTGATCCCCTGCTGATTTCGAATGTTTGCCCACTCACAAAGAAATGATCAGTCTAAAAATCGAATGGTAGGTGTATTGTAGGGGATCAAATACTTATTTCCTTCACTGTATAATATATAAAAACAAACTTGTATACACCTTCCCCTTCCTGAACTCAACCTCAATTCATCCAAAAAACGAAGGGAAGCAAACAGAGTGCTAAATCGCCAGCATTAAATGCAAAGCCCATTTTAAGGAGACAAGAGGGAAAAAAGATAAATGCAGTATCATTATGGTGATGCCAAACTAACACAAATTATCAAACACAGAAAAATAAAATCCCCAGATTTCAAAACTGCCAGTACTTTGATAGCAAAATGTTCCTTCAATAAACAGGGGGGAGCATTAAATACTAATGTTAAACATCACTAATTAAAATGCTTAATCTGATGCTCAACATTAAGGCCCTTGGGTCATAGCGTCTGCATATTATCCATCTTCTTTCCTTTTGTGATATACACCTTTTGTGTATTATTACCTCTCCAATGGGAAAACTGTAAGGAAGCAGGGTCCCTATTATGCATCTCCCTGTAATGTAATTACAGACTGGTTTTTTTTCTTATACCCAATCTCTATATTATGTATGTGTTCAGAGATTCTCTTATGTAATGTAATGGTCTTTTTGTACAACAAATATACTGTAATCCACATGGACATTCTAGGATATAAACCACGTGTTGTATCACCCGAAACAAAATTGTGAATGTCAATAGCGTTTACCATACCAGTTTGTGTAGAACAGGAAGATATTCTCCTTCTGAGATTCAATTTATTATTCCTGCAGCCCCTACGCCTCTGACAAGCATAAAAACCTTTAAAAATTACATTTCAAAATTAATTGTATTATAAAAGAGAGTAGTATAGAGTTGGATGCACTCCGGACCACAGCAGATTACATTAAATGGCTCTGTCTGGAGTGTATCTTTGTACACTATTTTTGCAAGTAAGCCAATATTACAGGATCTGTATAATATTTTTTTTCCTGTTTATGTAACGGTTTAAAAATTAATTTTTGTTGTGACATTCTTGCCTGCAATAACATCTGAATAATATGTGACCTTTAAGCTTATTACATGGCATAATAAAAATATACCTTAATCTTATCAATGGACTAGGTTGAAATAAGAACTGTAGACAACAATGTTGTTTTACAGCTTGTTTGATATCCATGTCAGGATTTTACCCAGGAAAACTCTGCTTCGAAAAACATGTAGGCTGCCAATTCCAGCCTTCCCTTCTGAAAATGCTAGTTTCTAGCTCTCATGCTGACCTTCTTTATTTAGTGATTGAAGAAAGAACTGATGCCAATAAAAGGCATATCTGAAGTTCATTTTTCTCTGATTTTTATTTGTTGCATGCGTGTTCCATGTAAGTTACTTAGCATACAGAGCATGGCAGTCAGACAAACAGCAAATAGAAAAGGGGCTCAGAAAAGGAAACATTTTCAGCTTGTTCCTTTACCCTTCTGCCAGATGGTCTTAAATTCTAACTCAAATATTAATTAGAGCTTGTTTTAGCTCATTGATAATCATATATTGGAAATGAAAAGTTGTTCATTTATAAGAATTACCTAAATTTGCCTTAAAACCCAATTTCCATCTCTAGATCATGTCCCAATATTTTTTTTTCTCCCTGTGACAATGTCCCCAAACTTTGTTTGTTTGTAAAATTTGTTTTCAGGGGCAGCTACAGGGAAGACAGTTCATACTGATGTAGACATGCCCTGAGAACTACAGATATGTAACTAATGCCCATTGTCACCAGGTTACTGACAAACATGCTGTAGTTCTGCTCGCACATACAGATACACACTAGGGCTGTTGGCACACACCTGGTACACACAAATAATTTTTTACATGGACACACAAATACAGCAGCCAGTTGCTGTGTTGATTGTTGGTCGTTTTTCTCAAAGACACAACCTAATGGTGACTGATGAAATTTCAATCAAAGGATCCGCAAATACCTCTCATTCACACCAGCGGGCCACACTAAACACATGGCCTGTGGTTTGCATTGAGACAGTGCCTGTATGCCAATTCTGGCACATTTGCACCGTGTACTTGTTTTTTTTACAAAGTGTTTGTTTTTTGAAATGTCACAAGGGACATTTCAATGCAGTCCTGCTTACCTCAGCATCGTTACACAAGGTGTGATGGCTGTCGATTTGCCTAATATTGAAGATCTGTGCTTATTTTCTATATTTGCCACCAAACATTGCATGCTATTTTTCTTAGTCTTTTTAATATTTTCATCTAACTCTTGTACACTGTGGCAAGCCATAAACCTGAAATGGTGGGCAATTACTTGCACAGTTTTTCTGTTGATCATTCATGACACATACTGTACAGCCAAGATTGTTTATTAATCACGTGTACACTAAATATACTGAGCAGACATCTTTGCTCAGTATATTTACTGTACACACCAAGCCTTACCTTGGGAAGATGGAGACTGGAAAAATCCCTTTCAGATTACTGATTCAGAGCTCTTGCATACCCATAGCCACACAATAGTTAGTATTGCTTCACATCTGTTCACTGTATGCAATTTTAATTGAGATTATAAAAATAAACATTCATTGGTCACTGTATACAGTATGCAACGTGGCTTATCTCTCAAAATCAGAGGTATAGCTATATAGATGTGTATATATAAGAGGTATAGCTATATAGATGTTTCCAATAAGTGACATCTGTAAAAGTAAGGCAGAGGTTAGTCTTTCATTATGTTAACATTGCATGATCTTTAAGGCAGACTTTTCACCTAGATTCTCTGCAAAAACAAATGTGCATTTCTAAGTTTTTATCTCCTCGTATTGTGTTATTTATATTCAGCTTCCTTCTTGTATATTTGGGAATATTCTGTGGTTTGTGCTGTCAGGAAAATATCCTGAAAGCACAAAACAATGCATATGGCTGTAACATTTTATTAATTGGCTAATGTGGGGTCGATTTACTAAAGGTAAATACACGGTGTACTCTGCAAGTGTAGTTGCTCCAGATATTGATAAATGCAGGGAAGCTCTGCTGACTTCCATCATCTAGTCATCTGCAAGCCAACATACTATTTTCTTTTGTTTTTTTTCCTTGCATGTGATTGTGTATTCTTTCTGAAGTGAGGGTCTACCTCATTTACTAAGCTCTGGAGAAACTGCACTTGCAAAGTGCACAGTCTACATGCCTGTAGTAAATCAACCTGTGTGTGTGGCAGAAAAAGAAAATACATTGCCTCTACCCCATCAGCTGTTTTAAGCTAAACAACTTAAAGTGGTTCTAAAGGCTTGATATTTTTTCCCTCCTACTTTAAAATAATGAACACCTCATACTTATCAGTTCTGTGCAATGGGTTTGCACAAAACAGCCCCAATCCTCCTCTTCTTGGGTCTCACGCTGGCACTTTTGG